TTGACCTATCTGTGCTAATTTTTATCTCGAAGAGATCATCAAAAATACGATGATATGTATATTATTTCGAAATGTCAGCAACTTTCTTTATTATTTAATATGCTTAATATTATGCAAACTTCGATACGTTATGTTATTGCATTTGTGCTAATTTTTATCTCTTCGAGATACAAATTAATACAAATAGGTCAAAAATACAAACAGTGAATTCATTTCAATGATATATGCTGATCTCATAAGAGAGAAGAAGATTAAATTTAAACAGAGAATAGCTCTCAACGAAGAAATCTCTATTTTTTAAACAGCAAGCATTAATGAAATTTCTGAAAATTAACAATTAATTATTTTTGAAATAATGTATTCAATAAATGTAAGCTATTAAGCTATAAGTGCAAGCTATTATCCTTTTTAAATTACCATTATTCTCAATAATGAAAACTTATCATCCTTCAATTTTGCAGAAAAGCGCTCGTGCAATTTTCCAGTTGTCAGCGCAATAATTTTTTGTTTTCAACACAGCGAAGGAACGTTAGTCTGTCCTATTTATTTTCCGACAAAAATTCGGTCATCCCTTGGCAATCGTCGTCGTCATCAGCGTCGTCTCGATGACGCGGCCGCTCGTCGCGCGGGAAAAAGCGCGCGATATTTACGCGCTTTACCGGAGCTTGTGCCAGAGCTTTAGTATCGCAATTATATCGGACGTGGACCGGAGATTGAGTCGGGGCTCATAACTCTCGTCGGTCGTAACGTTCAGCTGCAGGCCGTTCGTTCGTCCGTGCCTGCATTTCATAGGCCGCCAGATGTTACGCGCCTACATATCAGCGGTCCGCACACTTCACGTGTGCGCGGTACGTACGTATTCATTACTAAATTACAAGCAATGCGAGCAAGTGAGCTCGTTTGCCGGGACGCGACGCGGCTGTGTGGAACAGGGACCGATGCGTTTCAACCGCGAATCGCCGATGGCACGTAAAACAACGGGCCGAGTCGACGGGCTCTGTTTGTTCGCCCGTGACGGAAACCCGCGGCGTTACGAC